ATCACGACCGAAGAATCGGGTGAACACATTATCGCGGGTGCTGGCGAACTTCATTTGGAAATTTGCCTTAAGGATCTCGAAGAAGACCACGCGTGTATCCCGTTGAAGAAAACCGATCCAGTTGTGTCGTATCGTGAAACGGTTATGGATACCTCGCACATTTCGTGCCTTTCTAAGTCTCCAAACAAGCACAATCGTCTAACTATGCGTGCTACGCCGCTCACAGGGGAGGTGTTTGTAGATATCGATGACGGAAAGATTAGTAATAAGCAAGATTTAAAGGATCGCGGTCGTTATCTCGCTGACACTCATGGATGGGACGTACAAGAAGCTCGACGCATTTGGTGTTTTGGTCCAGAGAGCACCGGACCGAACGTTGTGGTTGACGTGACGAAAGGTGTGCAGTACTTGAATGAAATCAAGGACAGCGTAGTGACTGCCTTCCAATGGGCAACGAAAGAAGGTGTTTTGTGCTCCGAAAATATGCGTGGTGTGCGTATCAATCTCGAGGATGCCACCTTACACACTGATGCTATTCATCGTGGCGGCGGTCAGATTATTGGAACTGCCAGACGATGTTTCTACGCCTGTGTTCTGACTGCCCAGCCGGCCATTCTCGAACCGGTTTATTTAGTTGAAATTCAGGGTCCCGATACGATTTTGGGCGGAATTTACAGTACCCTCAACAAAAAGCGTGGTGTCATTCAAAGCGAGGAACGCGTCTCAGGAATGCCGATTTGCTGTGTTAAAGCACACTTGCCCGTCAACGAGTCTTTCGGTAAGTAGTCCGTATGTGTTAACAAATCTTCCAGGTTTCACAACTGATTTGCGTGCGAACACGGGAGGACAAGCTTTCCCCCAGTGCGTGTTCGACCATTGGCAACAATATCCTGGGAATCCATTGGACCCGACTTCGAAGCCTGGTCAAGCCGTTTTGGCCATTCGAAAACGCAAAGGTCTTTCCGACGAGATTCCATCACTGGATAAATATCTGGATAAATTGTGAGATGTTCTGCAACATCTGTGGAGAATTATAAAGTGATACGACGATCAGGACGTTTTTTGTTCTTGCTGTGTATATAGATATAAATATTCCATGGTGATAGCTTGAAAGCGAAGATGTACTCAGAGAATTAGGTTTGAAACGTCTATATCGGGTTTTGGAAAATTTTTTCGAGACGATGATCCTGGAGGGGGGCCCGTGCAGGAGATTGCATTTCGCTTGAGGCTCGTGGTAGGTGTCAATGGGTGCAACAAGAAATTCTAATTTAATCAGGCGAGCCATTTATGTGGTTGGAGGCACTTCGTTTTGCAAATGAAAAAGCCTCACCGTTGCGTCTTCAGATTTGTCTCAGTTGTCAATGTGCTTAGGGTACTCGGTCTCGGAAAGACCGTGTCGTCAGTAGTGTTTGCACCGTTAACGTTGGTTGTCGTCATGTGGTGCGATTACGGTGGATGCGTTTCTTCTACCATAGAAGTAAGTTGAGGAGTTGATAGAGAATTCTGTATTCCGAACTTGAAATCCAGAAAGTTTTGCAGACCACGAGAATAACTTTGTGAGTTAGTTTGGTCTCACTTCGGAGGCAGTTCGGCCAACCTGGGCTCGTTCGGCGTAAGGCATCCCATTGAATGTCCGTCTCGTGTAGATTCCCGACTCAGGGTGTTCAGGTTGTGCGGTGGATAGCTTTGCTGGCAACCGGTCAAATACCACGCCAGGCTTAGTGGGGTCTTATTTTGTTCTCCATTCAGTCCCCGACCTGAGGTTACGGGTTACCATCACTGAGCAGCAGGTCTTTGTGACTATGGGGTCCGGTCAGTCTGCTGTTCTTCGTGCAAGTTTTATCATACATAACTCAGTCGATTCGATTGAGATGCGCTTGCAGTTGATTTGTTGCCTGTGCACGTTTATTCCCTGGATCTCGCGAAATATCAGTTTTGCATTGCGATTGTTGTCCGCTTCACCACATCGGTGCTGTCTGTCAGACCCCGTCGATACGTGAACATGTTCACATCAATTACTGTCATTCGGGATTTCGGATTCCAGTGACCTCTAATGACAACTATGGCTTTTATGCTAGTCTGTTACTACGAGATGGCTGTTCGTTCGTTTGGTCCAGGTACATGTGGATGAAAAAGGTAATAATACGCCAAGGGAACAAGTTCCTTGACGTGGAAACAAGTCAGCTAGGTCTGCGTGCTAACGGCTTCTATATTGAGTCGGCTATCGAGGGCGTGTTGCCTACTCTCCTGGTGACCGACTCAAAATGTTTGCCACGGTTTTCGATCAACTCAACTTGCTGGGCCCGCTGTCTTGACGTGTATCACAGGTCATGTTTGCTAATCTGGTAACATGTAAGACACGTCCCTGCCGGTGTAGCGGGTCTGCCGTGTGCGGCGGGGCGTAATTGTGGCACCCGTTGGTTTCGTCTAACCTCTTTACTGGTCTGGTCGAAGAACCGAACTCGCGCAGTTATACAGTTTGCTATTCGAGCACTTGGAATATACTCAACTGCCATGCATTATATAACAGCGACACTGGCGTAGGAGTTGCACCGTGCACTCGGCTCCTCACGGCGAATTGTCAGCGCTAAAGCTAGTATCAACTCTGCCGCACAGTTTATCTATCCGCGCATTCGCCCAGCAATAAAACATCGACTGCCTATTCCGGATGTAAGTTTCTCTGGGGCACTTCCCTAAGTTTAAAAATATGCCATGATGACCTCAGGAGAAACGACACCTTGTGCTTCAATCCTGCTTCGGCACACTTGTGCTGTTGGCGGCTCTGGGGCACAATACGGTTGGGTCCGCCTCCTTCGCAATGAAGGTGACAATAGTGCACCTATGGGGTGAGTGGAGCTTCGTGTTCAAGCTTCAGTTTAAACGTAAAATTGTAGTTTGTGCGGTGGGATTCCCGCCTGTGTTCAGGTAATACACCCCTTCAATTTGAGATGATGGTGATGGGTAGACTGTGAACGGCCTTCTTGGGTGTAAACGCTTAGTAGTGCGCTGACCCTCTCATAATGAACAGATGTTTGGTCAACTCCAGAATTAAGGCCAGTCCGTCGCACTTGGAGGTGGTCGGCAGCGATTGGTCCGGCTTAGGAATCATCTTTCGAGATAGCTGATTTCCCGACTGACCTTTATTTCAGAA